ATTACGAACACGTCCATGTCCAATAGCAGGCAGGCGTCGGTAGGACTCTGCATCATTCATGTGACCCGGGAATCTAGAAAATATGTTTTTTTATGAGTTATCATGCGCAAAAGAAAAATAACAAAGTAACCGTTGATGCATTTTTTTTGTGCGTACAGTGTCACACTGTCATTAGCTGGAGCCGCGAGAGCAAGCAACTGGCTAAAGCCATTTCCAATTTTTGTTTCACATTTTTCATTTCTTTTGATTATTTGCATCCTTTGCATTTTTGCCATTTACCAATATTTATAGCCCCGCCCTTTCAAAGTCTTTGTATATCATTTTTGTTAATAACTGTCCATATACAGCCTTTTGCACAAATTATGAGACATTTATATATATAAATATACAGCCATTTGCAAAAATTATGAGAATTGTTGAAATATCTAAATATCATAATATCGAGTGCATGATGGGTAATCCCGCGCGATGCCCTTAGTCCCTTGTCTTTGTGGTTTAGTTTTCTTTTTTGGCGACAGACTTATCCGTAGTTCTGAACATTTTCTCAATGTCAACAATGAATTATTCTAGCAAACCCTCGTGTTCCAGACAATATATGGATATGGATATTATGACATTTAGACAATTCTCATAATTTTTGCAAAAGGCTGTACCTAACCAAATATCAAAAACACCCCAGAAATTATGGTATATCTCTATTATATTTTGTCATGATTGCCTAGCATCAGGTTGTTGCAGACAAAATATCAGCGACGGTATCCCATAATTTCTTGGGTGTTTTTGATATTTGGTTAGGTATATTTATATATATAAAAATGTCTCATAATTTGTGCAAAAGGCTGTATACCATACACCGATCACAGTGGAAAAAATGCTTCTTTGAAAATATTGTCCAATTTGGAGGTTGTTTATAATTTTAGATCAATATGGCTGCTTAAGGGCACACATTATCAACAACAATTAAATGGAATTTATTCTTTTATATAGTTGTCTTCAATCTTAATTGTCATCCGATAATAACATTGATGCTTTCTTCTTCAACATAAATCAATGATGTTTCATATACCTTTTATTTGATATTAAAACTAGATTGCAATTAGTCTAGYTTTGAACATCAAACTTGGATGGGCTTTAAATGTGCATTAATCATAAACTTGAAAAATAAGTACAAATCATGAATGTTTTTGTATAATGTTTTTGTTTGTTGTCTGTTACTGTTACATTTGTTAGGATGCCACTGGTAAGATGTTAATTAAGTTATATTTATGGCTCCAAAATCAAATTAAAACCCCAAAATGTTTAGCATTAAGCAATATGTGCTGAGCTTGTTCGTGCAGGCAAAAACACAACACCAGTTGGGTAAATAATTGCTATGTCGTGGACGTAGCCGTTCTTTAATTATGACAAAAACCATAAAACTTAATATATATATAAAGTAGAAACTACTATAACATCCCTGCACAAAGGTGAGGGCTCAAAACCGCCACCAGTCCCTTGGGCAAGGGACCGCCCCACCCCAGGACATATTGCTTGATCTGAACGAAGTTAAGCTATAGTATAGAGCAAATATGAACAATGAAAAGAAAATGGGGAATTGTCATTACCGCTCCTGCAGGTAATGACAAAATACAATACATTACACTTGGTTCAACCGCCCATGCAAACTGACCCAGTAACATTTTTAAACCTTATACTGATGGTAAAGAAAATAAGCGAATGTACTTCTTAAAGGCATCAGAATGCCAACGCCCCAACAACCTGATTTTAGCATCGGAAAGCCCTTGCTGAGCGGCATATGTAGCTGCACCTATACGAAAACTGTGACCTTTGTAACATACAGGATCCAAGTGACAAACTCTAATACACTGATCCAATAATTTTGAAAACTGGCTACGTGAAACAGTAGTGTTGTCAGCATTAATAAATATAGGACCCAAAAGGGGGCCCCTGATAACTAGATAGTCCAACATACACTGCACTGGACAAACTTGGCCTTGCCTAGATATAATGATTGAGAAAGGGGGCTGGTTAAACTGATGCTTAAAGTTGTAAAAAGTAAATTTAAGGCCAGTAACATAACCTTTCTCATCAATCACTTTAAACAACTGTTGTATAGAGAGGATGTTCCCATTCTGAGCCCTATTGTTGGTGGTGATTTCACCAATTCTTAAAAAGGCAAAAAAGGCAACAGAACACATGGCTTTGAACATAATACATTCATAATGAGATTTACAGACAGTAACACTAGCTTGGGCTATCCGAAGCAAAATCGGCAATGATATAGGTAAACGAGTATCCAAGGTTTTACCGATTTTCCCATACCCCTTCAGCATCTCTTTGATGTAGGGTACTACAGTAGGATCTGACAAGCTGGCCAGTTTATGATAATAACCAATTGCTGAGACATAAGTACTTACTGTAGAAGAGGCATAGCTGTGACTAAACAAATAAGCAATAAACAGTGCCATGGTTGTGGGAATAATGGGAAGTGTAACAACACGTGTCTGAAAAACATCTAAACAAAATTGCTTAAAAAGGCGCCATGCTCGCTGATATGTTGGCAAAGATGATTTTTGAAGACTAGAAGAAAGCAMCTTTTGCACTAYAGGACCCAATTCTGTGGGAGCAATTCGGGAGGTACAGGTGTTCTGAATCGTAATAAGCTGGAGACACTCTCCGAAAATGCCGTATCTCCAGACGAGATAATGCATCAGCATGTTGATTCTAAATCCCTGGAATGTGTTTCGCCTTAAAAAGTATGTTGTTTTCAAGACAAACTAATACCATTTTCCTGACAAACACCATCAGGGATTTATCCTTGCAGGTGCACTTATTAATGACATAAACTAAAGCAGCATTATCTGTGAAAATTGTGATACGCTTGTTGCGCATAGCTTTACCCCACAAGAGAAGGCTAAGGACTATTGGATAAAATTCCAATGTAGCTATGTTTTTATACTGCCACTCCCTGGGTCATTGCCCATAACACCAATGTCGACCGAAAATGGCCCCAAAACCCAAAGCCCCAGATGAGTCAGTGTGAAGCTGTAAGGAAAAACTGTCCTCCCACACTTCCTCAAGGAAAATTGAACTACCGTTGTAATGCTGTAAAAATTGGTACCAGACTTCCAAGTACGTCTTCACCCCTCTAGAAAGCCGAATGAGATGCTTAGGGTGGTTTACACCAACTGTGAGATCAATAAGCCGCCGTAGGAAGGCCCGACCAGGAACCACAACTTTACAGGCAAAGTTCAACTTACCAATCAGGGACTGAAGGTCATGCAAGGTAGTCTTTTTCTTATGAAGAAACTCAAAAATGAGGTTGGAACAGTCATGGACTTTGTCCAGAGGTAAACGAGCTTCTGATGCAACAGTATCAAGTTCAATGCCGGCAAAGGACAAAACTGTTGACGGCCCAACGGTTTTCTCTGGTGCCATGGGAATGCCCACATAATCACAAAGTGCAAGAAAACCTTTGAGGCTAAACCCACATCTAACTTTGGATGACTCACAAATGAAAAAATCATCCAGCAGGTGAACAATATGCCGGATCTCAAGGTGATGTTTGGCAATCCACTCCAAAGCAGAGCTAAAAGCCTCAAAAGTTTTGCATGAACTGGCACAGCCCATTGGCATGCACTTATCATAGTAATAGGACCCTTTCCACTGCATTCCTAACAAATGGTAATCCTCAGGGTGTATTGGAATGATGCAAAAGGCATGCTTTATATCAGTCTTAAGATTGTCTAGCTTTACTGGAGTTGGCAGTGACACCACTGGAAGAGGCAGTGGAAGGCTGTTTGTCCTTACTGCCACGAAAATTACACTTTGTGAGAGGATGATTACCTTGACAGGATGGACATACATGCTTAAAAGAACAACCCGAACAAAACTGGCCTCTATGGTAAGCAAAACAAAACCCTCTAGGGATTTTCGCTTTAACATCACTGCCTTGACTACTAACCTTACCAAAACCTGCCCTCTGACCTAAGGGGGGTTGTGATCTTATCCATAGTTCGGAATGTATGGAACTCCAAGGAAACTCGCTAGGACTATTCTGACGCAAATATCTAAAATTCTCGTCATAGTAACGCCAATTAAACCCCCTTGATGCTAAATCACGTATAACCTCCCCATACTTCATCATGGCAGGTGCCTCAGATGGATGTTGTTGTGTATATATGGCAACATAGATTTGGAAAGCAGTGGTCCAGGTCTCTATGGTCCCTATAGTTTTTATTTTTATATTAGGTTCCAGGGTAAGAGCACTGGCCCCTTGATTCCCTTTKGCATCTGATATACTTAGCTTGTAACTAGTATTGGCCTTGGTGTAAGGACATGCTCAACTAGTAAGGATCGTTCTGGTTTGYCACTCGTTTATTCTTGGTTCTCACGTACAGTAATTACAAAACTATGGTTATTAATGTGTTCGGCGCAAGATGAGGCTGAAGAAGGTCGACCAGAAAGACTTTCCGCTGTCGGGCTTCCAAACTCAAGCACTTTCCATACTTTGGTCTGTACTTTCCAATACGATCTAGACTACAACCCCAGTCTTGGCCCGTAGGTACAATGAGATGAGTAGTGAGTTTCGAGTGCTATAACGTCAGTCCTTTTATAATTCTAAACTTAATCCAATATCCTGTTTCCATCAAATGCTAGTCAAAACTAAAACGATGGTGGTCTTAACTATAGGAGGTTGTACCACACATGAAACTACATATAACTAACATTAGTCAAAACAGTCTAGATGTCTAATATCAACATTTATTGAAAAATACAAGGTCATGAGAAATTCAAATAATAAATCTCTCAAATTCTGTTATCTAACATTGGTATAGTTTGTAGTTAACGACCCAAAATCCACAAACTCATTAGCAACAATTTTCGCCTTTAGCTTACTGAGTACCCCAAGGCCAATAGGTAGATCAGATGCCATAAAAACACTTTTGGGTTGGGCTATCTCACTCCCCGACTTACCCGACAAGGTGTCCAGGACAGCAACCACCGACCCCTGTACAGTATGCTGCCCCAGAATCAACCTGTAACCCAGATCCTGAATCCTTCTCCTTGTTAAGAGTCGCCAAGACGGCCTCAGACACCTTGTTAACGATAGCCACCATCTGGGTGGCAGATAGGTTGAATTCCGGTGGATTCACAGAAACGCAGGCCTGCACTGATGGGGGTTCCACAGCAGGTTCTGACACATTTACGACAGATCTCCTTTGATGGAGGACCACCAGCAAGCCTTGTTGATGGACGTCTTATTCTATTACTTCGCCTTGACATCCTGTCAAAAGATTTCTCAAATAGACGAGTAAACTGGAAAAACAATAATCAGGGTACTTACTGCAAGATAATAATTACAATACGCCAACAATGCAATACAACATTAACATAGGCCAGGGTGTGACTTGGCAGACTAAAAACATCACATGTCGCCGCTAAACGCCACCCCTATAGCCCTGACCCAACCCAGCATAGTGTGAGTGGTCATAACAAGTAGTCAACAGGACCATAAATTAAATATGGCCAGGAACAAATTACCCCTGACCCAAGTGCACAACATCAATAAAACAAATATACAAAAAAAATACAGTTTCACGCAGCATAAACCGCTATAACAAATTATTGGCAGCATACCACCCTGCATAGTGAGGGTTAGTCAACCAGCATAGTGTGGTATGACCCAGACTGCATAATATAGTCTGAATAACCCAGCATAGTGTGGGCTCAGAACCAAATGGAATGGGAAAAACCCATCATAGTGTGGGAAACCCATTGAAAGCAACTTGCAAGTTTACCAGCATAATGTGGCATGACAGTTAAAACTCCATAAAGGCCTTAAACCAGCATGGCCCTGGCTGAAGGCCCTCATTAAAGGAGCATTGAACCCAGCATAATGTGCATAAATGCAAAATAAAATGACTAACAATGACTACTCCAAATGGTCTTTAATCAGAACAACTTAAAACAAACAACTCACATGTTATGTAACTTTTTAAGGGCCTGAAGAATTGCCCCTCGATAACTACGATATAAACGATATTGCCCTAAGTCATTCAGGTGAACGCCATCATGCAATAAAACCTCGCACGTAGGCTGCAATAAACCACATAAAAAACATTGTGTCTGTCGTCTAACACGACCTTCAGGTACTGATGAACTATTCGGGCTTTGGCATTCAGTTCGTTATCATTCCGCGGAATAATGCCACATACCACAACAACACGCACGGATAGCTCTGTCAACAAAGCAGTCACAAGGTCATCAATCTGAGAACCAATGACCTCAGGCCTAATCTGGGTGATTTCAGAAAATGCGACTAGCCAATCAGCGCAAAGCTGACAAGCTTATGTYGTAAACATAACCCCCCGACGGGAGGAATTTGCACAACAAAACTCGACCCACTGGTGTAGGCTGCCTGCCATTTTATTCTATCCGAAAAATCAAAGCTAAAACGCAAAGACAAATTGAAAATCTTTATAAAATAGCTTTTATTAAATGTCAATCAAATATTTATCGTTATAGAAATAGAATTTTATCTTAAAAATGAAATAGCAAAGAATTTCTTCTTTAATACCAAGGGACTCCCCTCCCTGCTAAAAATAATTAGTCTGTGTTCTACGCGGGTTCTCCATTGCATGMGAAGCAATGGCCGACTTCACGAAGACTTCAGAAGGTCGTTGAAGCGACGTTCAAGTCCAAAGTATCTTATGGAGGAACCATTGCAAATCCTTTTTCTTAGCTCTTGTTTCCTCAAAGCTTTGAGGTATCTACAACATCACTGAAAGAGCTAGAGCAGCTTAGCTCCATGTATTCCAATAGAGTTTGTTCATACAAACAACTGTCGTAGTTTATCCTTTGTCGCATTTTTGGCAATAACCCGCAAGCATGCTCGACGACACAACGAGTTGACGTTATATAACAGGTCGGTTACACATTTACTAGCTTTGATCTTACAACGAGAGCTAGAACGGTGACTGCGGTTTTCGTGTAATGTCTTGATAGCGACTGTTTATGTCGAAACGACTCAAAAYAAAATTCCMYCRTGGAAAAAGTTCGACTAAATTCCCATCTGAAAAACACGTGTGTATTTAAGGTGGAAWATGTTTCATATGAGCATTCAATTCTTAAAGGTTAAATTCTACAATCATTTTGTTTAGTTATGTAAATAAATTTAACACGACTTGTACTGTTTATCTGAGTGAAAGGAGAACTGGGGGTTTTCCCTTTCCTTTATTTAGATTTTCAAATATGACCGCTTAACAAAAATACACGGGCTCACTGGCTTACAACCTTGGCGAATTCATATGCAGGCCTGGTCGCAAATCAATCACCCAGATGTTTACCGCCTCAAAACTGTTGAAGAAATCCAGTCGGATAAAGAACTCCAATTGAAGTACAAACAAAATCGAACCAGGCAAACCGATTACCTCACAAATGTGAAGAAGTTAATCGGAAAAGATCGGGGCTTAACTAAAAACCCGAATAAGAAAAAGTGAAGATCTCCATCGGAGCAAACTTACGCGTATCAACGTCAAAAATTAATCCTTTACATCGACCAGTTGAAAACTTTACATCGGAATTAAAGAAATAGACCATTGTTAGTCATTTCACGCAAATATGCAAACAAATACTAAAATAAATATGCTGAAAAAATTGTACAAAGGAGTGCAACTCACCTTAGAATCGCATTCAAAGTGAACAAGCTGCCAACTGAACATGGCGGGAAAAACAAAAACCTAGAGGGCACCTCAATTGATAGAATTACCTCTACCCTACCACCGGAGGCTGACGTCACCGGAAGTAGACTAACATGATTAAATATTGCTAAATGTAATCTTTTTTCGCCATAAAATTCATTTTGTTGGACAAAATATTATTTTTAATAATAGTTTACATAATATGCAAGCCAAAGTTACAACATAAATTGCATAATGATATTGTACAGAGTKATTGCATTTCTATAATGCTTTTTATGGAAAAATATGATATTGTTCTTCATTAGAAAAGTCTGAATAAATGACTGATTAGTCATTACCATGAAACACATAATAATTCGCATAATTCCCACATGATTTAAATTGGGTGGTAATAGAGCAAACGCAGGAAAACCATGGAACAAGGCCAAACTATAAATACTAACAAATAGCAGCTATTCTAACGCCTCCGTTCATCTTTCCAGGTGTATTCAGGACCTTATATTGACCCTAAAAAAAGAGATCTGTTAATGAGGGAGAGTGAGGGAGTAAGAGAACGGTGTGAATGGCTGGTGAAGAAGGTAGTAAAGGAGAGGATAAACCAGAGAACTGTAAGTTTATCTTTTAATCACATATAACTCTAAATGTGTTCAACACTTTGCTGTATTAACTACTAAAAAGTGAGAACTGAACAACAGAAAACATTCAAGTAGCATAATTTAGTGTTAATTAATTATGTTGCACAGTTTTAGGGTTAGATAGTCTATACTGCCCCATTACTCAAAGATATTGTTGTGAGCAATGACGACAGCAAAAGCATTTGTTTTCAACACAACTTTACTTATCCTCTTGCTGTATTACAAAACATGTCAGAACTAGAGCACGAGGCCGTGGGTTACAAATTTGCCCTACCGGGGAGGGGGTACTATAAATCTAGTTTCTTTGGTCGTTTGATACGTCTGCCCACGCGGCTATACTGGGCTAGAACATCTTCCCCACCTTGTCCTTCGCTCGGGAGGACAACATCAGATTCATTTGGACTTGATTGTTCTTTAGAGATAGTTTCCCCACCGTCAGAGGAAAAGTCCCTTTTCTTGTGCTGCTGNCACCGTGTCCAATACTGATTTAGCAATCGTAGAAGGTATAAGTATCGCTCGTTTGTCCTTTTACTAGATTCTTTCTTGTAATCTTCCTGTGAAGGTGGCACGCTGTGAAGCTGTCTTCCTATAGCTAGTTGAGCTGGCGTTATAGGCAATAGGTCTCTCGGATCATCACCAACCGCTGTCAAGGGTCGTGAATTGATTACACCTTCTATCTTGATAATCAAAGTGTTCAGCTCTGAGTACGTAAGAAGGGCTCTACCGAGTATCTTTCGAAGTGGTTCCTTGATTGATCTCACCATGCGTTCCCACCAACCACCACGCCAAGGAGACCTTTCTGTTATAAACTTCCACTGAATGCCTCTAGACGTCATCTCTGCTTTGATTCTATCTTCATCTAGAGTGTCGGGTAGTACACGTTTGCAGTTAATTGTAGAACCTTTGTACAACTTCTTGACTTCATTACTCGCTGCTTTAAACGTCTTAGCATTGTCCGKCCAGATCGTCGCACAAACGCCTCTACGATTTATCATACGAGAAAAGGCTTGAAAGGCTTGAAGAAAGTTCTAGGTGAACCATACGAGATGATGCACATGTAAAGATACAAATGCAAGCTTTCTTTGTCGTCGAACCCTCTTTAATGCTAAGAGGTCCTGCAAAGTCAATGCCGATATGAGTAAATGGAAGTGATGGAGTAACTCTCTCAGCTGGTAAAGGTCCCATCTTCTGCGCACAGGACTTCACTTRCTGCTTTTGACAAGTGACACATCTTCTAAGGACACGCTTAACTTCACGTCTTCCTTGAGTAAGCCAGATGTTTTGTCTCAGAGTAGACAATACTGTTTCTGGCCCTGCGTGTAACAAGTGTTTGTGAGTGTCTAATATAATCTTCTCAACGACTGGATGTCCATGTGGTAATATGATTGGATGTTTTATGGTTTCAGAAACATCGGAATATTGCAAACGTCCTCCTACTTTTATCAGCTGCTCATCTTCGTCAAAGTAGGGGTCTAACTTGACTATACGACTTTTGTTAGGAACGGGCTTTTCACTTTTCAGCAAAGCATATTCCTCCTGGTAGATCTCCTGTTGAATCCACTGGTAACACCTTAACTCTGCCTTCTTTAACTCATCAGTGGTTAGTTCAGCTTCTGAAGACTTGGTTTTAGTCTTGAATAGACGCACTGCTTTCAAGATGTACGCTGTGATGCGTTTTACTTTAAGCCATGTCTCTCGACGATTCATATCGAACATAGGTTTGGATACTACTGATGGGCACGCATGAACTGAACGTCTTTCCACACAACACTCTTCTGGCATCTCTTGGTTG